GCAGTTTTCCTTACCTCCTGTTAATGGGCCCATCAATGTCTCCCCACATGACTCAGAGGTAACTCCCTCCAGAGCCAGCGCTGTTTAACAGGGGATCAAGGACACACTGCATGACACAGAATGACATCAGCCCACTGTGAGATGCTCCACCCAGGGGGAGGAGCTAAGCATCCCCACCTAGATATATCCTGGGGTTTTGGGACAGAGCAGCCAGCCTTCCCACAGGTTTCCAAGAAGACACACCTGAGGTTTTCCACTAGACTGACTACACCTTTTCTACAGGACCACTGCTCCAACAGAACCACATCTGCCACTCCAAGAAGACTGCAGCCACTCCAATTTTGACTTCTACCAACACACTGACCAAAGTTGTATTCTGACTTTGACAGTGGTTTTCCTTTTATATTATTGCATGTATTTTGTTTCTTCTCTCTATCCCAATAAACTGTATTTCTGACTTAGAGTGTCTCACTAGTTTTGCTTTCAAACCATAACAGTTAGTCATAGTGTTTTGTGAGAGAATACAGCAAAAGAAGTTTTTGAGAAAGGGAAGCAAATAATCCAGTCCTTTTAAAAGCTGATTTTGCCATAAAACAGAATAAGGTGAAGGGACCTACACAGAGATCCAGCTTTTAGGAATCAAATGTCAAGATGGACATTGTCAGATCCCAGCGGTTTTTATTAAAATAATAGTGATGTCTCCACCAACTTACAAGAAAAAGACACAAGACTTTTTAGGTGTTGTGGGATTTTGGAGAATGCACATTCCAACTTGCAGTCTGTTTGTAAGCCCTCTCTATAAAGTTACCTGGAAGAAGAGAGATTTCAAATAGCCCTCTGAGGAGCAGCAAACCATTGAGCAAATCAAATGATGTAGCCTTCAGGCCAGTCTGAACAGGGGCAGATGTAAAAGTATGCTTTGTATTGCAGCTGGAGAGAATGGACCTACCTGGACTCTCTGGCAGAAAGCACCAGGGGAGTTTTGAGGCTGACCTCCAGGTTTTTGGAGCTGAGCATACAGAGGATCTGAAGTCCACTATACTCTAACTGGAAAGGAGATACTAGCTGTTTTCAAAGATGATTGGTACTGACACACAGCTTCTGACATCACACTTACCTGCGTTGAGTTGAATACTTAAAGGGACGGTCTCCTCTACACATCATGGAGCAGATGCAGTATGGAGTAAAGGAGTTGCGTTGATCACATTAAGAGTTTGGATAGGAAACCCATGTCATCCAGTAAACTTAGAATTAATCATGGACTGGCCAGAAGGCAAAGATTTTTGGAATATCACCTGGCTTGTGCTGAATAAGCCCCACTGTATAATAAATTCCCAGAAACTGAGAAGCAATATGCCTTGTTAACTGATGAATCCTTCTGTCTTGTGGGAAAGCAGCCGTATGGAGTCCCCTATGACAAGTCACAGAATTTGCTGGAGGAGAACATGAATTGAGTCAATATGCAGAGATGAAAGCCATCCAATTGGCCTTAGACATTGCTGAAGGAGAGAAATGGCCAATTTTTTTTTTATTTTCTTTTTTTAACATCTGTACTGATTCATGGGTGGTGGCCCTGTGGGGGTGGTGGCAGCAATGGAAGCAGAATAACTGGCAACCTAGGGGTAAACCCATCTGGGCTGCTAAGTTGTGGCGAAACATCACTGCCTGGTTGGAAAGGTGTCTTGAATTGAAATGACAGGTGTCTGCTGAGGAAGGCAGGAGCCTCTCTTGAAATGAAAAATGTAAACCCCCTCCTTCTGAATTATTATAATTTTGAAATTAAGGGGCTCTCAGGCAAAGAAATGGGAGTAAAAATAACAGTTCTTTACTCGGAAAAATAAAAAACCACAAAAATAAAAAGGCAGTAATAAAAAGCAGCACTGACAAAGTCAGAATATGACCTGACACCCCGCTGGTCATGGTGTTGGTAGCAGTCTGATTAAATGGTGGCTACAGTCCTCCTGGGGTGACAGATGTGTTTCTGTTGAAACAGTGGTGCTGTAGAAGGGTGTAGGTTTCCTCTGAAGGTCTAGTGGTGGTGTAGATGAGCCTGGTCTTCCTTTGGGAATACAGTGGGAAAAGGCTGCCTGTGGTGCTCCAAATCTCAGATTTTATCCAAGTAGGAATGCTTGGCTTCTCCCCCTGGGCAGAGCATGTCACAATGGGATGATATAATTTTTATCAGTCATGCCGTGATACTCAAAGGCCCATTAACAGAAGATATCTTCCTGGAGGGAAGATGGGTTGTGGAAGAGATTAAAAAAAACCCCAAAAAACCTCTGCATAGAAATGCCAGCAAAGATAACAAGGTTGCTTCTAAGTCAGTGGTTTTCTTCTGACTATTCTGCTATCAAGTTATGAATCTGAGTTGAAACAAATCCTTTTGGTTACGTTCTTCTGCTGCAGGATGTAGGAAAACAATAGAAAATATACATGAAGAGTAATGAAACAGGAATGAGGAATTCTCTGGTAGAGAATATAACTCACTTACCAGAATAACAGTTTGAGAAAGCTAGCTACCCAAATTTTATTCCTGAAGTGGCAGAGTAACTTCATAAGTATGCTTGATGCAGGAAACAGTAAATACATTAACTTAAGGAATACTGTTTGCATTATCTGCAGATGTTGGTCATATATAGGCAACATCAGGGGAACTAGTCTGTAATAGAGGGGAAAACCATGATAGCCAGGTGCTGGAGAGACATGCTGCTTACCCATTTAACTGGGAAAATATAGTTTTGTAATGATGCCAGGTTGTGTAAGGACTCTGGTTTATGGGATCAGTTTGCAAATACTGATATATACTGTGGTGATGCTTGTGCTGGTGGTGTGATAGGATTTGGGAGCCTGATCGCAAACCATTCACACCTGCAGCTAAAATACTGTCATGTCCATGGGTGTTATAATGAAATAAATATTAGCTTTTCTGTCCAGGGAAAGTTCCAGCAGTTTCTGATTGCAGAGTAGGAAGTGTGCAGATTTACAACATCCAAGTACAGAGAACGTATTTCTGTTCACTAAGATGAGGCTTAGTAAAGCAGTTGAAAACTAAACGTTGCTCTTACACCTTGACCCTTGCTTTTGGAGAAGTGCTACAGTGGTGGAGTACTCTAATATTACTTCTCTGCTATTGCTTCTCACTTGAGAATAATACTCTTTTGAGGCTGAACAGCAATACTTTGAAACTAAGTGTTTCAGGCAGTCATCAGCTGTTAAATTACCTGGAGTTATCAGTGGTCTGCGTTTCCTCAGATTGTTTTACATGTCTTGCTTGCCACTCTCTTGACTTCAGATCACTGTTCATATTCTCCATAGTCTGTGAAGCAGAAAATTGCCTCATATGAGATTTTTCTGTTCCCATAGTTGACAGTTGACTTTTGGCCCATCACAATGTTAGTAATCATGCCTGCAAGGGGGAGAGGACCAAAAGGCCAATTTGTCTTCTGTAATTTTGAAGATTCCACACACCTTAGTACTGACCCTGGCATTTGTTTGAGAAGAGACCTGCTTCAATGCTAGTCACAAAATAATTGTAGTGTGCAAGTATGAAAAAATAAACACTCATTCTTGGTGTCTAGTAGCTATGAACTTCAGTTACTGATGCGGTAGTGGGTTTTTTTATTTTGTCACTAAAGACAACTAGTACCAGTTTGGTATTTAAAGGAAGGAAAAATTCCCTCCCCCACTCTCCTCCCGCGTCTTTTTTTTTACCTTCTTGAAAAACTTCTGAAAGCAACTAACCCATTCTTCCTAGCAGGAAGGGAGAGGAAATGGAATGAGTAATCTAACTGGGCATGGACCAAGTGAAAACTTCCATTAGACACAAACGTGAAAAGAAAATATAAAAGCATGGGAACACACAGGGGGTAGGGATGATATGTTAGTAAGGGACTAACTCAGGTCCTTGCTGGTGTACTAGGAAAAAAATCATCAGCCTTTAAATCTAGCTAAAAAATACTTATTTGGAATGTTTTTGCTAGCAGATGGTGTTCCTGGAATTAATTAATAAAACTGAATGGTTAAAAAAATTTTTGATCTTTATGAGCAAAAATTTTGGTCTTTATAACCCATGTTAACACTCTTCTTTGGAGGGCAAAAAAGCCCCCTGTCCAGTCATATTTTCATGTCCACTCCACTCTTTGTTTGTTTTTTGTGTATGTTACTGCTAGATTTAGAGCAGCTGTACTCCTCAGTAGTTCTCTTCTTAAATTCCTCCTTTAGAGTTCTTTACTACTGGTCAGTACTTAAATATTTATCTCATTGACATGATCTGTTGCTTACCACTGCTTAACCGTACTTGGAGAAAGCCCATTATCTAGTTTAAACCTGTTGTTTTAAAGCTGTAGAGAGATTATCTTTTCCAGATCTATCTGTCCATGTTGATGGCTGTGTAGCTTCTAGCTGTATGTCACTCCCATGATTGTCAGTTTGTCCCCACTTTGGCTCACGGAATAATTTGTGAGCACTCCTGAGTATTTCTGGCAGAACTGGCCAAAGAATGGGTTGTTGAGATGGCTTCTGCTTAAGCAAGTGCAAGTGTTTTTACTTGAAGTGAATTAGGACAAACAAAAGCTTTTGGCATAGCTACAGGTTTCTGACAGGACTATCTGTAGTATACCTGTTTGCTGAATGAGTGTATGTTTACTGCTTTTTTTGATAAAAATATTACTTTGTGACCTCTTTCAAGATTCTCATATGAACACAGAGCCTGAAACAGTATTTGTACTGATGGAAAAGATTGAGAGCTTGGATACAATGATAAATTTTGAGAATTTCTCCGCTAAGATTAGGAGGACAAAGTTATAAACATTGCTTAAATAAGCAGAGGTTGCACCTGTGTAACACAGATAAAGTGTTAAGCATATACCTTCATTTTTAAAAGGTAAATTTTGAAAACAAAATCACCACAAAAGACCTTCTGCATTACATAGGGAAAAGACATTTTAAAATTTTTTGTTTATATTTACAATTTGAGTAAACTAAGAATCTGGTTTTTTTAGGGCATCCAAGATGGATCTCAAGTGTGCTCTGGAAGAATGTTCAATGGCACTGAACTTATTTCTAAACAATAAGTTCTCTGAAGCGCTGGAACTACTTCGTCCATGGTGAGATTCTGTTATTTCCTGAAGTTGTTGTAAGCAGGCAGTATTTAGTTTAATACTGAAGATTAATTTAAAGCCTCTGAAGATAGTAGTTTTAATTTATTTTCTTTTGTCCAGAAGCATTTCTCAGTATTTCTGTTTTTTTAAATTTATCTTTGGGTCATTAAAACAATCTCAAAAACTGTTGATGAAGTACTGAATTGTTATGTTAGACTTGATCGCTCAAGCTGTCTTTCCTCTTGCAGAGGGGAGAGGCTGGGGAGCAACACCTTATTCAATGCATCTTCAATCAAATAATTTGTACATTGAAACTGCTTTTGACAATACATAAAATCTGGAACAAAGCTCAGAATAGTATTTTTGTTATGTTTTATATTACGTTTGAGTCTGGTGTTTATCTTTAAGCTCATCTTTCTATGTTCTGACTATTTTTCTTGTTCCCCTGTTGCCTTTCCTCCACTGAGAAGAAAACTATGGCAATGCAGATATAGTGAATTAAAGAATATGGAGAAGTTCACAGGTGAAACCTGTCTTATCTGTGACTTCATGGGAAGGCAGTCTGAGTGGCTGATCTTTAGGACTGGGATCTGACTCCCATCCACCATTCTTCTCTTGTCTGTGTCTGAAAGGAGCACGTGGTGTTGAGGGATGCGTTGGCAAGAGGGATATGAAACCCACACTAATAGAGTGGAGTAATGTTCTCGCTCTGCAGTTTGGTGCTAGTAAGAATGGGTTGACAGTGATGTGTTGGTTGATGTTGAATGAACAAGTTCAAGGACAGCTTTAAATGAAACATCAAAACAATGCCACAGCTACCAAGTGTTTGCTTTTAGTGCTCTGGAGAGCTTAAGTGAGGAAGGCTGTAGGCCAGAGATATTATCTCCTAGAATTAGTTGTAGTTAAGCTCATTGGAAGATGATATTACTGTTGGAATACCAGGTTCTGTCTCGCTTCAAGGTCAGGGTGAACAAAACTCGGGAGACGTTGTTTTTGAAGTCGCACTCTGAAGTTTATTATCCTTATCTATTACAAACTCACAAGATGTGAACGCTCACTAACAAGTTAAGAAAGTGAGCTAAAATCGTGTCTAGTCAAGGCTATTTAAGTCCCAGTTATCCAACAAACAGTTATAGGTTATATTCTCAGACCTGTTACTTTCCTGCTTAATTCTTCTGTGTTTTCACAAATTAATACAAGTGCCTCTGCATTTAATTTTGTATTGCAATGTAAAGTGTTGCATAAATGCACAAGATTCATGTTTTCCCTAGGTCCAAAGATAGTATGTACCATGCACTTGGATACAGCACTATTTTAGTTATGCAAGCTGCCATGACCTTTGAACAGCAGGATATACAAATGGGAATTTCTACAATGAGGGAAGCTTTGCAAACCTGCCAAAGGTAAGCCCAAGCAAGCCCAACCGTTATGAGATACTAAACTCAAAAAGTGTTTTTTGTGCAACATCCCAGTTCTCTGTATGCCTTTAAAGCAGACTCTTGTCTGTGTGAGAGTGGTCTAAATTTGTAAAGGTGGAGTAAATCCCACTACACAATTATTATTGGTGAGGATATTTTTCTATGTGGTATTGTGGCAACAACAGACTTGTCCTATGTGGGTATTAAGAGCCATTACAGTTAAATGGTTGTTTCCCTGTGTATGCCTACACATAAACTGACATTACATGATTGAACTCTCTGAGCCATTGAGTGCTGTGACTTCTTGTTTTTCTAAAACTTTAAAGGCCTATATTTTGAATTTTCCCCTCTCAGCATGAAAACAGCCTTCTTTAAAAAGTTGTTTCTAAAGGTTGAACCAATAGTCTAATACAATTCAGTTTCTACTAAGGTTTCTTCTGAAAACCAAAGTTTGTTGTTGTTGTTGTTTTTAAGTTTGTTTTTATTGTTTTTTGTTGTTGTTACAAATGTGTTTCATTTACCTTAAAATGAAAGATTTTAAGAGCAATTTCTGTTGCTTATATCAGAAATTATCTGGACTGAACATTTTGCTTCTGGTCTTTCTTTGAACAGAAAAAAAAAACGTAGAAAATGGGTTGTGAAAGCTGAAGTTTTAACAAATCTCTGACAAAAATAGAAATTATTTTTGCTTTGTGGGTGGTTCATCATACTGATTAGTCTATATTTTATCACAATGATCTCCCAAGAAATGACTGCCAGATACTAGTTTAGACATTTAACATCATCATCTTAGCCATGGCAAAAAAGAAAAAAAATGAGAAAACGTTATTAGATGCTATCTGAAGAAGAGACGGGGTCAGCAGTTTCTGCATTTTTTTCAGGTGTGCTATCAATTTGCAGTTTCATCTGAACTATTTTGTTTGGTGTGTCTCAAGATTAGATATCCCTCTAGTCTAGACAGCTGTAGTACAGGATTTCATCTCAGCAGGATATAAACTTTAATTCATGAATACTGTGGTCTAGTGTATTTCAAAACTTATAAAAATGCAAGAGAAAGGCAATTAAATGTTCAAAATTGAAGAATTACCGTAACTACATGTACCTTAATTGACTCTTTTCTTGTATGCATTATGTTAATGTGTAGTGTCATAATCCTGTTCTCAGGATCCCACAACTGACAATGTGTAGTGTAAACAAATGATAAGCTAATGCTTAGTATTTATAAGCCAGTGACTCCCTGGTTTACAGAGTGCATTAATCTTCTGAATGTAGAATTGTTTCTCTAGCTTCTTCATAAAGCTGAGCAGTTTGTAATTTTTTGGTCAAAAAATAATTTTTGGAATTAAAACATGTAGAGGTGAGATCTCTTGGAAGTGAAGTGTTTGATTGTTTTGGCACCTTATCTGGCATAAACCACCATAAAATACTGAAGCATTTTTGGTGAAAACAGAGGTACTTTTCATTTTTTCATTCTAATTCCGAGTGCAAGTTTAAATAACGGAAAAAAGCAATTAATAAATCTTTGAAGTCCAGTTGAAGTGTCTTTCCCAGCATCAGAGACACCTCTGCAGCTGGTGAGTGACAGTGGGGTTGAAGCTGTCATACATTTAGGGTAGATGAATTGAAGTTGCAAGCGTGCATTTAATGCTGGATAGGTTCTTCAGCCTAGAGGCATACAAGTCTTAAAACTACTGAAAGAGTTGAAACAGTTGACAAATTATAATTTTGCTAAGAATCTCTGTAAATTTTGGTTGGAAACTATTAAGAATTCTAGTAATTAAAGTTTGTGTTGAAATGTATGGCTTTCTTTTCTTCCATTCACAACCTATGTAGATTCAGGAAAAGAAACACAGTGGTGGAATCCTTGTCCAATCTAGTTTCTAAACAGCCAGTGGATCAGTTGAGTGAAGGTAAGTAGTTAAATAATACAGTTAAAATAAAAAAAGTGAAAAAAGCTCAAAACTGCCCCTATTAATGTGTACAAATACGCTTAACTCTGTGACTTGACTAGTGTCTTACAGTAATAAACATACAAACGATGTATATAATCTTTTCTAATTTGAATGCAAAGCTTCAGTGGAAAATTCATTTTAATTTTTTTTTTTCTCTGAGCATGCATGAATTAAGAAATGAATGCCTTTCACAACACATTCATTATAGGACTGAAGGGAAATTTCCTTTTTTTGAGTTAAGAGAGCTCCCAAAAGTTTAAGAACCATTGATGCGGAGGAGTACATCCTTGTCATTAGTTGAATTGGAATCTGAATATATTAACAAGTTTTGTGCTTGTCTGTTTTGCCTTAAGGTATTTTGGGAAATGGTATCAGTACATTGTTCATGGCTCTGAAAATGCTGATCTCCTATTTCTGATTCAGGCAGAGTCAAGTATGCATTTTTTTCTAACCTGGCACAAGAATCCTCTTTAATACTTGGACACATCAAACTCACCACGTATGCACTGTACATACAGCAGCCTTGTGCATGTGGCTGGTCTTGCAGCATGGTGCAGAGCAACTTGTGTCATGTGTGTTAAATCAAATGTACTTTAGTGGTGCATGAAGACAGAAAGTCTGCCTGGGGCTTTCAGTTTGTTAAGCATGACTTGGTGGAAACCTGTTCATAATGTCTCAGTGGATGTAGGAAAAGTCTGAACCTCCATGAGGGTTACTATTCATTTACAGAATTTTCTTGTAAGACATGGAAGGAGGCCTGAAAGGCCGAGTTGCTGTGGGCTGTTAAGCTTAGAATCAATGAAGAATACAGGAGACCATCTACTAGAATGTCAGGTAGCTTTTGCCACAGACTGAGGTCAGCTCTGGCAATGTTTTGTCTGTGAAGAAGGGAAATAGAAGAATTCTGTTGGGATTTGCGTGTTATAGCTATTACTCAGCAGTTTTTGAAATGGCAACAGCAGAACTTTGCGCTTTTTTTTTTCTTTCTTTCTTTTCTTTTTCTTTCTTGTCTTGGCAGCATTTTGTTTGTTCCATTGACCCCAAGAAGACAGTGTTGATAATGACTTTGCTGATAGTAAATAACTTTTCTTTCTTATATAGAGGAAATGCATGCTGAAATCTGCTATGCTGAATGCTTATTGCAGAAAGCAGCTCTCACCTTCGTACAGGTAAAGTCAATTTCTCATTTTGTGTGACAGAGTAATGGAAATAAATTAGTACTTATAAAACATCATTCCAGCAATAGATGTGATATTTAAAGCAAAACTTTTTGCTGGTGAGTGTTATTTCATGGCAGTGATTGAAAGTATGGTAAACCTTATGCTGCTCAGCGAATTCTCTCTTTGTATGAATAACCAAAGATGATACTCAGATACCAAGGCATTACCCTAAGGTATAAACATACCACATTTTAAACATACCTCTTGTGTTATAGAAGGTGGTATGTTTAAATGATTTGCATCGCATTGGACTGTGGATTGCACACTGGATTGCATCCAGTGCGTGTATAAAAATATTTTCAAGTATGAGGAAGTGTGTTGTTTTGAAAGTAATTTTTTGCATGAATGGGTAGAATGTTTTCCAGCAAAACTTCATCTGATAGACGCATATAATTTCCAGTTCGGTCTTGCTCTAGATCTATGTACATGGTGTCAGGTAATACAGTAATGAATGCTTATAAAATGGGCATGCTTAGCATTGGTGAGTTAACAATTCAGCTCACAAAAAGATCTGGTATTCTATACTGTGTGGTGCTAGTGATTTAGGTTGTGGTACGGAGTTTTCAAATTCAATTTTAAATTTGATTCCTGAAAACAGGAGCTGTTAGTCATAGTTAAGGTATGTGAACATTTAACGTTTATTTAATATAATTTAGATAATATTTTCCAGTATTAATTATAAGAAAGAAGTGAGGCATATAGATACTAAGGTCAGATTAAGTTCCTTTGGCAAATGCTTATGAACTACTTGATTTGGCCAGAAGTGTCAGGAAATACTATTAATGGAATGCTAGTCTTTCCTGTAACTGCGTTGCTCCTTTACTAACCAAGTGGAAGCAGCCCTCTTTATTTTTATTGGGTGTGTGGGGTCTATTTTAACCATGAAAATAATTTTGAAACAGTTGTTGAAGGAGGTGAGTTAGGACTGTAGAAAATAATAAAAAAACCCTTAGATGTATATTTTCTCTGAAACACCACATCTGTATTGCTTTTAACTGTGATACCCCACTCTGCTGATTCGTGTGCTGCCCCACATTGACTGACCATGATTCGTGTTAGGATGATGATGATAACAAAAATGTAAATGCTCAGAGGGAAATAGAATTCTTTTACTGAAGCACTTGTATTTAGGTGTTCAAACTTGCAGACAAGAGAGATGAGGTTTTTTGAAATGGTAATCTTAACGGACGCCAGAATTTCCTTTGGTTGATCCGAGGCCTTTTTTTGTTGCTTTTTCATTTCCACGTTGTATATACTGTTCCTAAGTATTTAAATTTGCATTTCTGAAATGCCAGCACATGTTCCCCTTTTATGTGAATTCTAGGAGAAAAAATTTCATCTTGCTGAACGGATGTCTTGCTTTCCAGAAATTTAGTTTTGATGGCAAGTACATTGTGGCTTTGTTTTGGTTTTTATAAAGGTTAGTAAGCACATAAATTGAGTAATACAGGTAGTTACTTTTGATCAGCAATGGAATTTCATCTGTTCAGGGGATTTTTGAATTTTCTTCTGCCAGTTTCTGTACACTTCCTTGTGTGTGTCAGAATCGCCATTTCCAAGTATTTGAAACAGTTCCTGCAGCGCCATCTGGTGGAAAGCTTTCTTGGCGCATTTGTATACCTCTTTTTCACATCTCTCTTCAGTTTTAAAATTTGTTATGTGCACCAAAGAAATGTTTCCCTGACAACTTAGGGCAGGTGTTAACGTCAGTCTTAGAGACACATCCAGTGACTGAAAAATATTTTTAGTGTTTCCTATGACATTAAGTAATAAATAAATGTAAATGTAGCTGGAGGATTTCTATGTATGTGTTGTGTAATATTATTGCGCAGTACTTTACAATTAGATCTTTTTGTTCCAGGATGAAAATATGATCAACTTTATCAGAGGTGGCCTGAAAATCAGGACAAGTTACCAAATATACAAGTAAGCTATAAGAAAACACTTGACTTCAACATTAATATAAACAGTTGGAGTGGCATTAATGCCACCAAAATACAAATGAATATTTTTGTATCAATCTTAGTAATTTCTATGTTGTGTTTCCCCTTCCCCCCTTTTTTTCTCCATCACAAGGGAATGTCATCAGGTGCTACAGGCAACTCAGGGGAACAAAAGCAAAAATGAAACATACTGCCAGTTTGAAGGAGGAGTAAAACTTGGAATTGGAGCATTCAACTTGGTATGACTTCTTCCACAACAGAAAGGCCATTGGGTTGTTCTGTAGGACTGTATTTCTTTGTATATACAGTACTGTAACTGATTTAACATTTACACATTTGTAAAATAGAGATACAGGGTTTGGAGGTTTTATGTGATATGAAACCAGCAGCAACTTCTGGCATGCATACTTTCTGGGATGTTTCTACTAGTTTATTCTGCACTGTTTCATTCTCTGGGAATAACTAACAGATGTATTTCTGAAGTGAAAAAGTAGCTGCATTTACCTGTGTGTAGCAGGATTTTTAAAGATGCTTACACTGTGGTTACAGAATGCCTAGAGTGACTGTTTAATTCTAACTCCTCCATGCATCCCATTCTTTTGCTTCAGTGACATACTCTAGATTCACATGGGTAATTATAGTTGGAAGAATGAACAGTAGTTTACTGCATTTGTGCAAAAGAGAATTGCTTTTTCTTTACAATTTGCTACAGTTCCCTTTTCACATCTGTCATGGCAATGGTGAAAGTTGATTTCTGCCAGTATGTTAATTTCTGTATCATTCTAGATTGGAGATGGCCAATTTTAAATATGATCAGAAGACCTCAGGTCTATCTACACCAGACTTCAAAATTCAAACAACTGTGTTCATAAGTACTCTTACCTCTCCTATTCTTCATGGAGTCTTCTCAGTAGAAGGCTTAACAGAAAAAGTGTCTGATGGGCAAAATGTATTAGGGTGAATGGAGCTTTATAAAAAACTGACCCCTCAAGTTGACCTGCTTCTTAAAGCTCATTGAAAAATTGGTTATGGTGTTGGTATATTTTCTGTTGTGTAGGATGTTGAGGATGCAGTTACAGAGGGAACAAAAATGCCTATAATAGAGGGCTAAAGGATGATACCAACAGCTAGAATTTGTAAAACCACTATGCTCACGGATCTGCTGCTTCAGTGCTCCCACAGGAGGAACAAGTAGAGTGTCTGTGAGACTCCCAGTAAAAGGAAGATGGCAGTTATAGGTTGTAAGTAATAGTAAAATAGATAAGACTGTCATTCCAAGAGACCCACAATTTTCAAGCAATGCTGACCAGCTGAAGATAGAAACATCTGTCATTATCTGAAGATTTTCTTGCTGGACGGACATCAGAATTCTGAACATGCATGTTTACTTTGTATTTCTTTCATGTTTTATTTTTTACTTATCTGTAATAAGTTTACTTATGTGCATTTAACATTGTAGCTGGCCTTTTTGGTTCAGATTTATAGCAATGTAACTTTTTTTTGACGTGTGCATGTTTTTGATTATCTTTTTATTTTAAATGTATTTCAGATGCTGTCACTTTTACCAGGAAGGATCCTCCGACTTTTAGAATTTATTGGATTTTCTGGCAATAGGGTATTTGATTTGATACTTGCTTTTTCAAATTAATTTTTTCTCAGATAAAATACTGCATGTATTTAATGCCATATATTCCACACTAGAAGTATAATACCAACTGTTTATCAGTATTTTAGAGCTGTTAAAAAGATAAATAGGTTAGATGATGCAGGCATAGAAGCACATATGGTGATATACTACTCTTTAACATCCATTGGAAATCACCAGTTTATTTAAGATGAGATTTTGCCAGTGCAATTTCCTTTCCTTTTGCTGATCCTTAAGTTGAGGATATCAGCTTTATTTTCTTCTTGACATCTTCTTGACACCAGTAACTGAGGGAAGAATACTATTTCTACATTTTTCTACCCAAAATCTGAGCCCATTTCTTTGGAAAAAAAAATCTGTATATCATGTGTCACCCTGGAATCTAGGTACATCTTTCTCTTGTGGATGAGAAAAATATTTGTAACTTGTTTTTTAAGTAATTTTACAGATCTTTAAAACTTTTCTTGATGCCCATAAGAAAAGAAAAACCCAAACAAAACTCAAGCAAAAAACAGTAATAAAGTAACCCACAGAACTGTACACAGTTTTACTTCAAGTTATTACTGCTACAGTCACCATATGGTCTTATTACTGTTAGATTGTCCACAATATGGCTCTCCTGCTGTAAAATTATACTTCAGTAGAGACCTGTTTATTCCGTTTCTTCCCCTGAAAAACCTGGTTCTTGCTGAAGCTCTTCCAAAATACATGACTGAAAATGCAGTAAAGGCTGAAAGAAAAAGAAATATCATCACAATTTTTTTTGTGTGGTACTTGAATTGTCCTATAATTCATCAAGTTGCTATGCAATAAAACTGATATTTTAATATTTGTTTTGAGACAAAATTATGTTTCTGGGGAGTCATTGCTTTTGATCAGGGAAGCTGTGAGCTCAACGCCACTCAAACAGTCAAGCTGCTATGTAATGGGTCTAAACAGAAACATAAGTCTCATATATTAAGATCTGTTTAAGGCTCCATGAATCTGTATCTGTCTTTAGACATTGACATATCAGCAGAGGTAATACTTTGGTTAGCGCCTCAAGGTAGTGGCTGACTTGGTGGAAGAGAATTGAGGATAACCAGGGTTTTCTGTGAAGGAATTCTCACACAAACAAGTAGCACTGGAACAGCTGGGAGAGTTTCCCACCAAACAGAGGTTGAAGGGTGTTATTCTGAAAGGCTCATAGTCAGAACATAATGGGGAAAGGGTTGTAGACCTGTGTGTCTGCATGGTTCATGTGGTGTTCCCATTTCACCAGAGCACTGAAATGCATGATTTTATTAAGAGTTAGATTAGTCTTCTCCTTCCTGAATGCTGTTAGCTGCTACAGAAGTGTTTTGGTAGAGGGTTGTGTTGGATTTGAGGTAAGTACTGAATTATTAAATACTTACATCTGAAAGGAAAGCTGAATTTTGGTTAGCCAGAAAAAATTGGTAGTAACTCTGTATACTCATAGTTAATTCTGCATGTGTTTGTGATATTTCTTAGGAGTTGGGCCTCCACCAACTACGGGAAGGCGCATCTGGCAGCAGTTTGAGGGCCATTCTGTGTACTTTCACCCTGTTGGTTTATCATACTTACGTCTCCTTAATCCTTGGTGAGACCCACTGTGTAGCTTTTCAGTCGTGCTACACCTTGTGATAGATATTGTGATATATTTTTATAACTGAATTTCAAAATTGTGGCCAAATAGGAGTTTGCTGTATACTTAATTATGATTTAAGATTAATATCCATGACATAGCTATGTCTGCAGAAACAGTGAGGGTAGATAGCATTATACTAGCATCTTGCTCCATTTTCACGGCTGTCTGAAAAGCAAAATATTGGACAACATTATTAAGTTCAGAAAAGTCATTATCCATAAATTAACATCAGATGCTGTAAAAACTATCTCCAGAAAAAAGCTATACAACCAGAATTAATTGCTGCTTTTGCCGTTTAGAGTTGGAAGTCATAATTAATTCTATATGCTTCTTTACCATATATTTTCACATTTTAATATTTGAGTATTTTAGTATTTGTCCCTCAGGCTCATCAGGAAATTAAGGAGAACTTCATTTCTTCCAGTATCACTCGTATTTCATTACTGAGTTCAAAATTAGGAGAAGAGGCAGCTGAGGAATGTTTTCCTATCTTGCTAAAGCAATTAAAGGGATTTAAAAATGTAACTAGGATCAGTAATGGAGCAGTCTAAAAAATATTTCTATAATTCCAGTTGGTTTCTACTTACAGACATTTCATAGTTTTAAATCACTTGGTATATTTGGGACAAGAATTTAGTTTTATAGAAACACAGTATGACCAAATACTTCTGCATTCAGATAAAGCAGTCATCCATTGATCTGTCAAATATGATGTGAAAACAAAATCTTAGTCCATGAAACTTGGATTCTTTTAAGTACATTGAGGTTGATTTGTTATATTTTCTAGGTACAGGGGAAGCCAACCTTCAGGAAGCAGACAGTCTCCTCGAACCCTACCTCCAGAAATTCCCAAATGTGCGTATTTCTAACATTTTATAACAGAAGTGTATTTCCCTATGCTCAAATTCCTAACTGGTTATTTTATTCATGTCTTTTCAAGGGTTCCATTATTCTATTTTATGCTGCCAGAATAGATGTACTGAAAGGAAATTTTGAAAAGGTAAATCATGTTTTATTTCTAAGAATTTTGTTTAGTGTTTAACCTAAGCACTAATTTAGGAGTAAAAATGATTAATTCATCTACATATCAGTTGGACTGATGAGTATGCTGTTATCTCTGTTCATATTCACTGTCAATGTTGATTCCAGCTGTCTCTCTAAGTGAGACTGAAAGGCAGGTTTAGCTCATTTTACTTGTCAGGTATTTTCCACCTGTGTGCTAGGTAAGAACTTGTCCTGTAATTAGACACTACTCTCACATGGAGCTGTAAGTGAGACGGTTTTCATCATTCTTCCTTAACTGCTCACTCATAGGCACAGCTGACGTTCCAAGACTGCATAGCAGCCCAGCATGAGTGGAAACAGATTCATCATCTCTGTTACTGGGAACTGATGTGGTGCTACACCTTCCAGCAGGACTGGCTTCAAGCATATCGGTATGCAGACTTGCTCAGCAAAGAGAGCAGGTGGTCTAAGGTAAATAGGCAGGTGCACATTGTTGTGATGTACCAGTGGTCTCTACGGTTAAAGTTACTTTTCATTTTGCACAGCAAGTGTAATGTTTGCCTTCCTGAGAAACTCATAAACAAAGACACAATGGGACCAAAATATTTTTACTGGGTGCTTAAGAATGGCTTTTTATTTCATGTTTTGAAGCAGCAGAAGCATAAGCAGCAATGCTTTGGCCCCTCCAAAAATTGGTACTTACCTGGTTTGGGAGAAAGAAGAGGGATAGGAAAACTGCAAACTGTCCTCTCAAGTCAAGTTCTACCATTCACTAGTAATATTTGGCCGAAGAAACTGTGTTTGGTGCTTATAAACACACACTCCTACTCAGCAGATTCTTTGTGGCACAAAATGAAAAAGGCTGCTGGGGACAGGATCTCACAAGAAAAGCTAGGCTATCAGATAACCTTTTCCTTGTAAAAATGTTTTTCAGAGTATGAACCAAGCGCAATGTGCCAATAACCTTTTATGCATTATTATTGTCTGTTCCTCTATAGATTACTGTTTTATTGTCTTAATAAAAAAGGGTATACATCTAATTCTTGGCAAAAGAGGAAGAGAATAGTATATTTGACATGAAGTGCAAGTGTCTTTAATAGAATTACGGGTTTTTTTCCTGCAAAACCGAGTTATTAAACTTTCCTTGAATCAGTACCCAGATGTTTCTTTCTGTTTTTTTCAAGCATGTCTCTACGTGTAATAGATCATACGATAACCATAGAAAACTTTAACTTTAGAAAAGTTAAGTCATTTAGCCTCATTTCTTTGACAGTGGTTTGCATAATAAATTTTCCTGTTCTTTGCAGGAGATACCTTTAACTTTCTGACTATTATAAAATATTAATATAAATACATAAAAAATAAAATTACAGCATAAACTATGTGACAAAGGGAATACTGAACTTTTATAGTTATATCTGCCTGAGAATTATGGGAATATTTTGCTGTAGCAATTGGAGGGAGAGATTTCAGTCTTTAATGTATTGATTAAACACAGAAAATTAGATGTGGTAATCTGTTGCTGTTTCTTTTTGAAATAGGCAATATATGTATTCCAGAAGGCAGCAATTCTGTGTATGCTTCCAGAGGATGATTTGAAGAGGACTGGTGAGGACATAGTGTCTTTATTCAGGTAAACTTTTATAAAGCAGCTGAACGTGCACTCTTTCTGCCCCTATGTCTTTATCTTGTTTATAATCATGATATACCCCTTGTTTATAACCATAAACTTTCCATTTTTTCTCTTTGCCTTTAGCATTAGAATTGCTTTTATCTGCGAAGATATATCCTACACCTCTGGTCTTCATGGCGTAAAACAATTTTAAGATGTTATATTTCAGAGGAAAACAGTAAATCTTTGTAACTGAAATGAGATAAAAAAAATACCAATAAACAACTTTTTTTTTTTCCATTTTCCTTTCTTGTAGACAAGTGGATGGTCTAAAACAGAGAATTGCAGGAAAATCTATCCCGACTGAGAAGTTTGCAGTAAGGAAAGCTCGACGCTATGCATGTCCTCAGCCAGTGAAGCTGATCTTACCTGCCTTGGTATTTGTTCTTGCTTTGTTTTCGTGCTTTTCAAGGAGAAAAGAAATCAGAATAGCTCACTGTACAGGGAAGGAATAATATTGTCAGGTATTATATGCCTGCATTTTAAATTTTTAAAGGACATATTGCATTAATGTGATGTGATTTTGGTGAAAAGTATTAGGGACTTATACTACCGACTATGCAGCAGTCTGAAACAAGCAACTTATTTTTCATGTGAAAAGTTCAGCATACAGAAAACTACATTCTTTAGGTTGGCAGGATTTTAGTCCTTGTCTCCTAGACTCATTAGGAAGTTGAAGAGTACTTTGGTACTTTCTTTTATTGATAAAAATGAAGGTCAGTTTTTGTTGTGATTTTTTATTCCCCTTGTATTGAGTCTGATTAAAACATGCAGAAGTTAAAGTAACTTTATGAATGCTGTTCTAATTTCCCATATTTTAATGTTAGAGTCATTAGTATTTCACAGTCTGTTTCTATGTGCACTTTTCATATGTGTATGCTAAAATGCATAATTTACCAACAACATGAAAACCTAATTCAAGAAGAAATTTCTTACGTTAAAGTTCATTGATATAGAAAGAGGAGTCCAAAGAAAATTAATCCACCAGTTCTAAAATTAATTCTATATTAAATTCCATGTAGAGGACTAAGCAAAATTTGTCTTGGGCTTATACAGCAGAGTGCTTCTAAATTGTGAGTATGTATATTTGGTCTTGCTGTAAAATCAAGTATCTAATGTTGTAATTTAGGAATTTTTTCATCATGGACTGAGCATAACCAAACATCATGTATGGTTTATTTCAGTATGTGTAAATTAGACAAGACTGCAGAATTGAAACAAATCTAGCATTATGTAGTTGATGATGTTAATAACACTGTTTCAGACTTTGATACAATCAGATTTTTTTCTCAGTCTGAAAAGGTACATATTTACAGTATAAATGCAAGTGGAAATACTTCACCATTGTATTGTATCAGCTTCAGAATGACATTGGGCTTAATATTTCAGAGGTGTTAATTTAAATTATGGTAGAACAAGTGATACTCTAGTTTGTGATGACTGAGTAAAGATCTTGGCAAAGTTAGTTGTTAGCGTTGTTGGTTAGCATCCTTCTTGGTTAATGCATTCTCCTCAAGTTTTACAATGTGATACTGTATCAAAACAAGCTTTTTGCTTACTGTTGTACTGAGGCATCTGGGAGGGTATGTTTCCAGGATTTGCCTTGGTTTTTTTCCAGCAAAATTTTGTAGAAATGATAGTCAAATCATGGATGTGCCTGATGGAATCACATTTTTATCTAGAAAGTTGTATCTACTTCCAGTTTTGCTCTGAATGGAAGATAATTATCTGTTGATTAGAGTAAATATATATATATATATATATATATATATATATATATATATAAAAAAACACCAGAGCATGTTTTTGGGTGCATACTTACATAAGTATAGTGTATATACAAGCACACACTCAAATGCACTTCAAATTTATGTATCATCCTTTGGAAAGATACTACTTTTAGCTCCTTCTTTAGTTTAGGCAGCAGAGGCCACAAGTTGAACATAAAGCATCCAGTTTTGCTGATGTGTTATATGGGTGAGTGTAAACTGTCCTGATAAAATCTGTTCAGTTTTATTTCTGAAGATCTGTGAAAATATATCATAGTAGAATCCATTAAAAAGGTGTCAAAACACTGAAATCTTTAAAACCTATGTTAACTTTGTCAACACATATTCAATGTCATTTTTCCTTTCCTATTCATAGATATGTTGTACCAAAACAAACTTTGGTAGTGTACTCAAAAATGTTCCACAACAGCCTTTTCAGAGCACTCTTTAGTTAAATATTTATGCAATTCCTTGAGTTTTTCTTGCCTTTTTGTTTTGGTTGGTAATTGGTTTTGGTTTTTTTTTAATCAGGAAATGATGTATGTCTGGAATGGATTTGCAGTTGTGGGCAAAAGAGCAGACCTCACTGATAACTTACTGGTAACAATTGAAAAAGAAGAAACCACTCTACAAAATGAAACTAGTAAGTGATCAATTAAGATGGAATGAATAATCTTGTAAGGAGTGCTGATATTTTTCTATGCTTTTGTCTTCTGATATTCTGCAAGGTGAATGTTGGCTTTGACAATGATTTAATTAAGTCTAAGTATGGAAATTTTGGAGCCTCGTGAAAGTTAGGAGTGGTTCTTCTATATGTTCTTTATATAGTGTGTTTGATGCTGCAGACGAATACAGAAAACTCAGGGAGATGAGGTTACTAGTTACAGAACATGACTGGTCTAGGTTAGTTTTTCTTGTCTTTGAGAGTGTTCTTGGACCATAATCTGCTAATGCCTTAAATGTCTGAAAAATACCTTTTCTTAACCAATTTATATCATGCTTTATTACATAGGACGCATGCTGCATAGAATATGGCAAAGTATAAAAGATATGATGAAGTGCTATGTATGAATGAGTCTTTTTTGGTTTGCTTTCTGGCAAAATAAAACATGTTTGCTAGTTGTAAAATGAAACATACTTAACAAATAGTCTTTGACTATGGTTTTACATCTTGGACTAATTTTTAGAGAATCAGCCCATAATTTACTCCTAAAAGAATTTAAATTCATTTATTACAACTGTTTTACTGCACAAGTACTTTATTTTTATCAGATTTTATCAGGGTGGTTCTTTCACCTGTAATGTGAATTTTTGGGGAGAATTCTCTTTTGAATTTTTCTAGAATTAAATATTTTGCATGTGAAACTTTTTAAATGATAATTCACTGAAATAATTTCTATTGAACTCAGATTCTAGTTACACTTATGAACAATTTAGCAGTGGTTAAAACAGCAATTCTGAAACGCAATATGTATCTAAGTATGATTTACAGTGTAAATTGAGGCGATGCATAAGAAATTATACAGGGATGTGCAAGAAATATATAATGGTCAAATCTGGATGATCTAATAAACCAAATGAGAGTAACCTTTATGGCCATGTTTGATTTGAGTTCCTTTATTTTCTATGTTGCCCTTCACTTTTCTGCAGAATCCATAGCATGCCTCTTAAATCTCAAGCATTTTCCTTTTTTCTTGTTGTTATATTAAAACAAAAGTGTAGCGATATGCAAGATACTTGCAGATAAAGTAATTCCCGTGAGCTCCACATGGAGGGTTTTGGCAGAACCTGTTGGAAATCCAGTGCTGTATTGTGCAGAGATTTGTACTAGAAGTGCTCCTCAGTTGTAACAGTGAAGTAAATTGAATCACTGAGTAAAGACATACAAGGTACCAAAATTAAAGTAATGGAATAAACCCACTCTGTTTTTCATATGGAAATTCACTGTTTGCAAATAGAATATGGTCTAAAAGTGTATATAATTTCTGTGTTGTTTTTTTGGTAATGACTTCAGTCAAATATAATTTTATTCTGGACATCACATATGTGATTTTTATCTGCTTTTAAAGATACAGAATTGGTGAAAATAAAGACTCTGATTAGCAGAGTTGCTGCTGCATCCCTACAAAAAAACGAGATTAAGGCTGCAAGCAGAGTATGAGAAGGTTACAATGTAATTTTAAGAGACAGTTTTTAGTGGTAGTAATATCAAAGGATTGTAAAAGTGGTGTGAAAAAAGGGTTTTGATTATACATAAAGGACACATAGGGATTGAGACTTCATAGAACTGTTTTTATTTAATGTGCTTCATATGAACAGGCACAGCATGGAATCTCTCAAGGAACTGAATGAGATGATAGAAGAAACAAATGGAAGACATTAGAGATGGGTTTTTTATATATTTTTTTCCTGACAGGATTTCTGGGAATCTTTTTTTATTTAATTTCCAATATATATATAAAAAGAATATTTAACTTCAAGAAAAAACAATTTTTATTTGTTTTCTTGTCCTGGTAATGATACTTCCTTTGGTGTAGACCACTGCAGGTGCAAAGATGATTGTCCCACATTTATTGCAAGGTTATCTGTATTAAATTGGCCTGTGCATTTTTAGTTTGTGCATTTAGTGTTAATGTTTTGGCATAATAGCCTTTATTCTTTTGGGAAGTAAAAGTACTAGTTGAAGTTGTTAAAGACTGGCAAACCTTTACTGACATCAGTGCGTGTCTCCAGTAATTTAAATGATTGAGTCCTTCAGGAGACAGTCACAGAATCCAGTACCTTAGCCTAGCAAAAACAGGCTAGTGAGAATGCAAAGTACTCATGCACTGCACTTCTACTATCACTAAAAGCACAGTCTGTCAGTTACAATCTATCAAGACTTTCTGGGTTTAAACACAGACAGAAATAAGGCTGAACATGGTGGCAAAGCACTTTGTTGAATCCTAAAATGCGTTAGTCTTGCATGTTTCAGAACTGTTTAGGTAGGATTTCTTTGGCAGACTATTAAGGAAAAAAATAATGTGACCTTAGAGAGCTGGTAATTAGTTGTAAACAACATGATCTGAAGGGAGAGTGTTTTGCTTCCTGAATTGTTAATGTATGTGGTGCCATCTGTCTATCCATATGTGTTTTCCTTCCTTTCTTTTCCTTCCTTGTACCCAGCAAATGCTACAAACTAAGGGAACTAAAAAGGATCACACTTGTTAAGTAAATTTTGAATTGAATCAATTACCCTCTTTTATCTGGTATTTTTAGTCCTATTGAACATAAAACTTTCATTATAGTTTTTTAAATATTATACACTACTACTTATTTTCAAATATTTTTCAAATATTATACACTACTACTGAGGTTTCTCAAACATTAGAGATGATGAAAACACTAGGAAACATGGTTTCTTGAATTTGTACTGCAAAATGATGCTTCTGATGTGTTCTGTAAGACAGTCATGGTGTAGTTTAACATGTTTTTTTATGCTACTTGTGCTTCTGGAGGTCTGTCAGTGCTCTGTAGCAGGGGAAGCTGTTAAGATAATATGATGGTTTCTGCTCACTGTAGTTTTAACTATTGCAAGAAAGAAATCTTTAATTAATGACTGTTTTTGTAATGTAAATTATTTAATTTATGACTGTTTAATCTTCAGTTAATAACATTTATGCCTATTTGTTGGATGTTTCAATTCCTTCTTATTTCTTCTTTGCCTGTCTTGTAAGAAAAAGATTTAGATGTCATGGACAAATCTTCTTTAGTAGACAGTATTTTAAGTCATGCCTGAAGGCTATGTACATTTTGAAATATAGAACATATGAAATAACATCCTATGTCTGAATTCATATTCCCTGTTGAAAATCGAATTTTCCTTTTCATGATGTCTTCAAATTGTTTGACATATCTCACTTTTACTGTTAGATCACAATGAATACTATGTGGACGATATGTGCATGTTGCAGCTACTGAAAGGCCTTTGTCTGAAACACTTGGGAAGACTGATGCAAGCTGAGCTGTGTTTCAGTAAAGTAATTCAAAGGTAAAAAAATAACAGAAATAGATTTTATATCTCTTGGTGACATTTTTGATATTCCTGTAGCAGCTGTCATGTTAGAATTTTGACTAATTAAACATAGTGTTAAGGACCTGTAATTAAAATACCTCTGAAAGTAATTAGAAAACCAGAAAACTGCTTGTATTTTTCTGTACCAATTTAACACTTAGAATAGCTTTGTATATATGGTGTTTGAGGCTAAATAAATCTAACTGGTAGGTAACATACCCAAATACATTTGTAATTGTATTTGCAGAGCTACCTGTAAGTAAGGACAATTCAGATAGGTGTCCTGTTTGTGGTTTTTTTTTTTTTTTTTTACTCAGTATTTAGCACTTCAGTAGTTAAAGCTTCTCCATGTAGATGAGAAGTTGTTACATGTCTCAGCTGGAGACTGGTTTCTCCTGTGTTACAGATTTTCAGGTGTCAAGCTCCATACCAGCTCTAACAGCTTTTCTTTATAAAACATGAGTCACGTACTGCTTGTAGTGGAAAACTTCTTATAAGATTTTAGATATTTGAACTGAAGAAGAGTATTTACATGTGCAATGTTTCTAACAAGTGATTTAGAAAAATTAATAATAAAATTTTTAATTGAGAATTATGTGTGTTTTAGTTCTCTTGCCATCTTGTTTTCTCTTACCATTTCTAAGATCCCATGTGAGTTTACTCAAGCACATTGCAAGTTACAGGGCAGAGGGGTTTGAGTCATTGCAAGTTAAAGGAACAGTATTTCTGAAACATCTTTTTCCAAAGGTAGTTGGCAGCAAGCAGGCTTTTATAGCTGAGAGATCTTAAAAAAATCTAAAGACAACAGTTCTTCATAAAGTGTATGTTTTGCATGGCTAAGAGTAAAAGTTTGCTGGTGCATGGAGTACTTACATTTTGTTCAATTTTATTTTCTACATGTTTAGGGCTGCTTTGGTGCTTTAAGACTGTTTATCAATGTGTACAGAATTAACCAGTAAAAAAGGCTTCAGAATGTTTTTTCTGGCTATATGCTGTTACAGGCAGTGATTTTTCTGGCTGTGTGCTGTTACAGGCAGTGATTGCTTTTAAACTTTTAACTAGTCACTCAAGACAGGGTTGTAAGTAACCATTTCTATATTTTTATGGTTTTCTAGTGAGAAGCAAATAAAATATGACAATTACTTGGTGCCATTCACGCTGTATGAATTGGGTCTTCTGTACAAACAACAGGATGAGAGAGAAAAAGCAATTAGATACATAGAAACTGCAAAGTAAGTGGATTTTATCATCTAGTAAATTAAGAATAACTGTATATTTGTAGCAATGAGGACACTTGTTTTTTCTTCCTGTCAGCATCTTTGCAAAATCCAAGTAATTATAAATCTCTGTTCTTGATTTGCAGGACTTGTCCAATATAGTTGAATTTTGCAGTTTCATGAAACTGTCCTTCAGACACAGTGGAGTAGACAGATTCAAATAAGACACAGTATGAAGGGAAAATGTTTCCTTTTGTATGGGCTGAGAGTCCACTGCATGCATGGGATGAAGCTGGAGAGTCCAGGGAAGGGATATGTACTATTCTGTCCCAGGGGGCAGCTGTGGGAATTAAATCAGTTGCACTAAAGGTGTTCGTAAGAGGAGGTCAAAAGCCAGTACACCAGTCTGACCACACCCCTTTTTGCTTTCACATTCTGTTGCGGAAGACCAGTTAAGAGTTTAATTTACTGTAGAGGAGCATATTTGCATCATCTGTAGATTGTAGTATAACCTAGAATGTGCTTTGTCTTTACAGGGAAGTAGCCCAGTCTTGAAACAGTGTCCCCTCATGGGGTTTTGTTTGTTTGTTTTGAGGGAATGGGATTTACAGAATACAATTTATGATGTTTATTACTCTGGCTGAATTGTGTTCTGAGTTGAAGCATACATTTTCTACTAACACCTGTAGTATTTTCTGTAGTATTTTGGCTTGTACCTTCACAGCCAATTTCAATAACTGGGAGGGCTGTTAAAAGGATCAAAATAAATGAAAGAGATGCTAAGACAGAGGTTCAGTTTATCAAGACATTTGATTTTAGTACTGGTCTAAGTTTTCTTTGCTCAGTTTGTGGATGTAGTTTTAAATGTCTCATAACTCATCCATGTGTCAGTTTCTGCTTCATGTTGAAGGAATAAAGATAACTTACAAACATATGAAGTATATATAATTCAATCCAAACATCTTTTTCTTAAAATAAATTGTCTATTTTGCAGAAACAACTACAAGGAATACTCTATGGAGTCCAGGTTGCACTTCAGAATTCATGCAGCGCTTGACAGCTTGAAGGTGTCCCCTGCTTCTACACCTTGAATGAGGAGGGATGCTTTTCATGCACACAAAAAATAGCCTACACAATCTTTTTTCAATCTTCTTTTAATCATAGAGAAGAACATAATGATTGTTTTCTGTCACTTCTGATTTGATGTATGTAATTCTTTTAGACTTTTCTGTATAATGCCTATACTGTATCTACATGCTGTTTTAAAGAAGACCTTATATTTTGTTGATACAAATAATTTAATATTTGACTTGAATGGGGGATATTTTTTAAAAAAAAGGCGATGGTGCAATAAAATTTAATGAAAATACTTTATTTTTTTTTAAATATAAGAACAGATGCAGGTTATGCAGTGGAACTGGTGATAATTTCTGTATTTTTTGAAAGATTTATTTTCTGCAGTACACTTAGGACTTTTTTTCCCTCTGGAACAAAAATGCAATGTCTGCAGATAACCTTACCCATGTTTTTTGGCATACCATATTCTGAAATTTGTGTTCCAGAGGAAAGAATTAGTCATTTTTAAGTTAAATTTCATTTTGGGAACAAAATTAACCAATCTGAAGTGCAATATTTCTACTCTGTCAGATGAATCTAAGGAGGCTTCAGATGAAGCTAAGAAGGGCTACAGTTATAATGTCTCTGCAAGTCTGTTTCAGTCAAAAGAAGTGCATACAGGGGATATTTTTCACTTGTAGAAAAGCAGAGCTACAGAGGACATTATGTCCTTGTTCTAAAGTAGAATCAGCAGTCTTAAGTTGCTCCTGACAGATTCATTTCATGTGTTTAACAAAAGAAACAATAAAAAAAAAGCACTGAGAAAGTAATTTTGGAACTTACATAGGATGGTCTTTCCCAGTGAGAAATTTTGCCTGATGTCTACCCCAAATAGTTCTTGACACAAATGAAACTGATTGTTTCCCATCTTCCCTGTTGTGGATCTGGAGAAAGTACTCTTCTTTCTCTTTTTTAAGCAATCATTTAGTATTTGTAGACTAGCACGCTGGTTGGTATTCTCTGTTCTTGGATCCCAACGAAAGTAAATAAAATATTGGTGGATTTATGCATTTTCCTAATAATGAGTTAGAATTCATATTAACAGAAATTGATTTGCATCAAAAAATGAATCCAGTTTTAAACTTGCCATTAAGAAAATGTGCATATTCTAGTCTAATTTCTACCAAAAATGCACAGTAAAATTGAGATACTTGTAAGTGCATTTTTCTTTTCATGTTTATATGCAATCAGCACTATCAAATTGAATTTCCCATTTCCCTATGAATTTTCCATAGATACAAAGATCCTACCTGTCTGTTCTTAAAAATAAAAATACATTTTATTTTTATTTACGTATACACCCAGGAACTCTTCTTTCACTAGCTATTGCAAAACTTGCTATTTCCATATTTTATCCATGTCCAGTATGTTTACTTCTGCACAGTAAATTCATAGTACCTAAGCTCATGTATGTAATTTGCTGCCCTTAACTACCACCCAAGCAAAATCAGGATGAAAGAAACAGGTGAAAACTGTGTCCTCAGTAAATAAATAACTGAAGTTTCTAATTAAAGAGTCAATATCATCTAAATGCTATAGCACTTTTCCTCAGGTTACTGAGAACACAGCTTTCTTCTATGACTTATAAATATAATAAGCTTATAATAACTTATACATTTAATTGCTTATAATTCTGTAATAGAGTGGTATATTTACAGGAGAAGTAAGAGTTTAAAAATATTAGCTAAATAAACATAATGGGTCTTTCAAAATGGAAACCTGATCCAAAGTCTTTCTTTGTTGAATTTGTGCCTATTGTAAATGTGTAACTTAAGTTATTGTGTAAAATTATGCACATGTAAGTTTGATGCTTAAATACCCAAGACACTGAATTGCTGATAAAATATGCATGTTTATTTTCATATATTCAATTGACTGTAGCTAAAACTCAAAACAGAGATTAGCATATGCTGTTGAATGACTCCTCTAAAGATTTACCCATTCATATATATCTGATGTATAATTGTAGTGAGCATAAACTCATATATTTTCAGAAAATACTTTTAATGCATCTGTGGGCATTGTTTGTTCAGTTTAGGATTATTTTTGTTTAATCTGATTATTGGATTAGGATCTGCTTCATTTTTCTGTAGAAGGTGATGGGAACGTTGCCAGTAAAACTTCTGTAATTTGTGTTCCAAGCAGTACTTCACTTTATATAACTGGGACTACAGATTCTCAGGGCGGAGCATGATGTAGTCTCTGTTGTCTTGTTTTTGAGGGGAGTGTCTTACAGCTAATATTTAGGGGTGATTTGAGATAGAAATTAAAATGCACAAAAAATGAACAATTATCTTCCTTAGAAACTGATTTTTTCCAACTTTAGAAAACTTCAAGAAGCGGTGTACTTTTTTCCATGGGTGGTGTTACTGTCTGAAGAGAGAGTAAAAAGAAATATTTTATTCAGTTCAACCTTCCAAAGGTAATATTAGTTCCCTGTGTATGTTATACTGTGTTTCTTTTGGGATCAGCCTTTTTGCACTCCTGCAGAGGACAGGCTCATCCACACAAATTTGCAGTACCCTCTGTAGTGTTTTGAGGACCCAGTATTAAGTACTATTTAGAGCTTGCTTCTTTTTTGTGCTGCTGTTCCAGACTTTGCTAGAAAGATTGGCTGTACAGAATTCTTACTTTAAGCTTTATTCTGAACATTTTTTTTCAAGTTATTAACAGTGGACATACAAATGTGTGAGAGTGATTTGTAACCCTTCAGTTAAGGTAGGTCACCACAGAGCTGCAAGAGATGCTTAGTTTTCCAAATGCTGCAGAAAAGTGCACGTATCCTTGACACAATAGTGTGATGCAGTATTATTTAGGACATTACACCTGAGTTAAGTGATTTCTGTCTAAGAGTTCAGAAAAAGGGTCTGTGGCTTTTTTTAAATATTTTTTTTTTTTTCTGGTGTATTCTGTACTGGGCCTTAAATACAGCTCTGATTTAGTCTTAACTGTTGTTTATAATATTCACCACACATGCTCATCTTCCACACGAATTTTGAATATTGTGCTGATACTTAATTAAGCAAAGATGATAATTTACCTAAGATGATATAGGCTCTCTTGATAATAGTAGGAATTATAATATATACAAGAGCAAATTTAAGTTGTTAGTTTAAGTAAGAAAGGCTGAGCTTACAGTTACATTATGACAAAAAGTCATTTAGTTCTTTCTTATAATAGATGGGGTTTTTTTTAAGATAAGCAATAATAAATTAGCCTGGTTATAGGACAAAGCTTCTCTTTGATTAAGAATTGCCTACTTAGAAACTATTACAAAAAACTTTATGTCTGTGCAAATCAATCAAATGTTTAATCTGTTGAAAGATCATTGTACTGTGGTTTGTAAGTCTTTATTCATCAGAATAAAGAATAAATTTCTGGTTTTAACAGAATTTGAAAGTGATACGTTAGAAGAAAGCTGAAGCAAGATGGTTACAGATCTGTTCTAATACACATGGGGTAGCAGCTGTATGTTGCACTTTATGGCCAGAGAAATGTATAATAATCAGATCTTATTAAGTTTCTAAAACATCTTGCAGAGTAATGTGTAAAACAAGTAATTTCTTGTAACAAATTCAACTTAGACTTTGCACTTATTTTATTACTAATCTTAATGTTTCATGTCTTTTGTTTCTGTATATTCTTACACTGCCTAGTGGAACAAAGAATGTTTATATTTGCCCTGGTGCTGCAGTCTCTTTGCTTCTAATCTACTGAGGTTTGCACATGTTCTTATCTGGTACTTGATGAATAAACGATGAGGGCAGAAAAACAGGAAATAAGGAATGAAGAGTGTTCTGGTTTAAAGAGCATGTAACAATGTTCATTGTGATGGACTAGAATGGATTTACACTTCAGAGGAATAAATCACATATGCTTGTACTACCAAGTGCTGAATTTGGCACTGTATTCTGTTTGTACATCAAGAACCTACAGCTAAGATTTACCAAGGCATTATCATCAAAAAAGGCCTGATCTCTAGTTTATAAATGCAACCTTAAGTGTAGAGCTCTTACACAACTTGTCCAGACTGAGAGGTTGTACAAAGCTGTCAAGGTGTGTTGAGTAAATAAAGGATCCTTTGAATGTAGATAGCAAATGTAAAATAAGCTGTGTGGTTTCTTGATTTTTTGGTGGGCATTTGTGTTGCTACTCGTGTTTAGGAATTTTTGTGTTTTGGATTTTGGTTTGTTTTTTTCCTTAATCTGGTAATAAATGCTATCGGACAGCTTCATAAAGAAACAGTGTGGCACTTAACTTTGCAATAGGTAGAAGAGTACCTTTCTGGAAAATAAAAGTCAGGAGTTCAATGTTGGCATAACAAATTTAATGCTTAGTGATTGCAAGATTAAATACTTTCCTTTTTGTAGTAGTGTAAGCATGTAATTCCAGTCTGTAGAGGAGCACATATCAACTGTTAATCCCAGGTAGGAACATCTTCCTAGATCTAAAGAGAGAACTTCTTCAAACACATAAGCAATGGGGGATGTTTCTGTTTTCTGAGTCAGGTCTTCTGTTCCATGAAAATTACAGTAGTTGAGATTCAATATCTGTGCCATTGAAGCATGGAAAATACTTGGTGTTAATCTCATGTGACTCTGGGAAAAGTTACGGTTTTACTAAAATCCTGCCTGAAGGGTTAATGGTCTTACCTGCTTGAGCATGTAAATGTGGTCCTCAAAACTCAATATTCTTACTGTACAGTGGATGTAAGAGTATATAAGGATAATTGTATTGACATGCTTGAATGACATGTCAGTATTTACAGTCAGTAGAGTGATATGTAAAATCAGGTTAATGCTACTTATATAGCTTATTTTAGGCATAACTTGTTCCCAGAGCATTAGTGATCTTCAGGACTAGGCTTGGTTGTAGAAAAGAGGGAAGTATGCATTTAAGTATGATTTTATTTTCATTACAGTTTTGCTCAAGGTCGTGGAATTTACATCCAGGCAAAACACATTGTGTACATATACTCAGGTGCAGATATAAAACTTTCATTTGTAACAACCCCCCCCCCCCCCACCTTGATTAAATTGTTTCTCTTTTAAGAGAAGTTCTGTATTGCATGCATGAATGATCTTATGTAAGCAGTGTTCTACAAAGGAATCTAGCTGTAGTTAAAAATTTCATATGGTGTAGAATATGCATGCTCAAGCTTTACTTGGGAAAGATGCATGGCTCAAATCTCCAAATTCTAGTTGTACCAGTAAAGTTGCTTCAAATCCATCTGTATTAGTTTTTAAATAGGAGCATTGAAAACTTGTTGCTGGCAATGAAAGAATGTCAGATGTTCCTTCACCTATTATTAATTAGTTTTACACTTTGAAGAAAGTTTAGCCTTTTTTTTTCTATAGTATGCATAAAATTAAAGATCAGTTTATTTTCACAACTCAGATGGAAAGTACTTCTCCTGTAGTTTACATTAATTTTATTAGACTGTTCATATGCTGTGGAAACAACTTACTTCCTTTATTGCAAGCAATAATATTAATAACACTGTAATAATTGTCTGCTTCATAATGAATTTTTGGTGTGGAAGCTGCTTTAAATAGATTTTTGTGAGTTGAAAGAGTGGCCATGGAAGATGAACAGTTACATCAGGATGGTACTTTAAATGCAGTGTACTCTGGAGGCCTATGAGAATACATCTAATGAATATCAAATTACAGGCTATTTTTGTACAAGCTAAGATTTTAATAGTTTAGGCAGAAAAAAAAAAAAACAAACCAACTTTGCCTGAAAAATAAGACCTGCAACCCAAAATACTGTATGCTGTTGAGTAATAACAGTTCTTCTTATTGAACAAGTCTTTTGAGGAAATCTGTGAAAGATCCAGATGGGCTAACTCAAGATGTTGGATATGTGCTATATGTGAGAGGTTAGTTATAGAATATTACGTGTTGGAAGGGGCCTTAAAGAGCATCTGATCCCAACCCACCCCCAGCCATGGGCAGGGGCACCTCACCTTAAACCAGGTTGCTCAAGGCTTTGTCCAGCCAGGCCTTCAGCACTACCAGGGATGGGCATCCACAGCTTCTCTCAGCAACCTGTTCCAGTGCCTCACCACCGTCATAGTAAAGAATTTCTTCCTATCTCTAACCTAAATTTCCCCTCCTTCAATTTGTATTCATTCCTCCATGTTCTGTCTCTACAGGTCCTGAGTCCCCTCCCTTGCCCTGCTGGCCAGGCAGCTTTTTTTGATGTAGCCAGAGTTGGTTTGTTTTCTGGACTACAAGTACACATGGCCAGTTCATGCTAAGTTATTTGTCAATCATCCCCTCATGTCTTTCTCCCTAGGAGATCTCTTTCCCCATTGATACCTTTGGGAGTTTGGAGTCAAGCAATTTATTTAAAATCAAGTTAAATATTTTCTTGTGTAAACACTTCTGGTTTTCACTGCTGCTTGATAAATTGGTGGGTCTTACATTATGAATGTTCTGTTTGCTATCTTTTTTCCTTGTTAATTTTTATTAAAGCTTATCTGTTTATTTGATATGTTGCCCAAAGAACACATTGCAATAAAGATACCAGTTTTGGTACTGGGTTCACTGCAAAATTGAATTCAATTTTACTGAGTGACATTGGCAGAACAAAAAACTGGAATTCTGGCTTCTGAAACAAGCAGTTTCCTTTACTTCAGGAATCTTACCTATGCAGCTAAATATGATTAGGTCGACCAGTCTGAATATCGTCTAATGTGTCATATGGAAATTTTATCTTGAAAGACTTTGGAAACTGTTACATGCCCAGTGTTTCTGGTGTATGAATCCCCAGAGAGAATTTTGCAGCATCTGTTTTCCTTCTGGAAAATTCTGCAGCTGAAAAAGGAGCTTTCCTTTAAATTTTTTTCCTTGAATTTTTTACTGCTTTCCTAGGACAGCAAAGTTGGATTCCTATTCTCACCTCTTTGCTAAACTGTCTGAAATTGGTAGGAGACTTCAAATAAAAATCTTGTTTTTCACAAATGTCCTTTCTTCCCTGGAATAATGTGCAGCTGAGATACCTGCTTGTCTTTGCTGGCTGTAGCACTTGCCCCCACTCAGATGGGAAAGAGGATACCCACTAGGAAAGGGAGAAAATGCAGGAGAAATTCATGTGTGATGGATAAGTAAGAATATGTTGGGTAGGAGTTTCTGTGGCACATGAACAATTGATGTCATCTTAGACTGTGGGACCAAATAGAATAATATGAAATGATATCACAAGGATTGGCAGAAAGGTGTCTAGAAAGAGAAATTATAGTGCAGAGTACTTACTTGCTAACTAAATGGAGGCAATGTAATCCAGAGGTGGTGGTGTCCTAAACAAATTAAAATCAAAAAACCCACAAACAAAAACCAAAAAGAAAAGCAAACCAACCAATCAAAAACCTCCAGACTGCTCACTTTGCAACAGGGAGGACCTGCCAGGGTGTTACACAATTTCAGAAATAGCTTCTCCATCTGGAAGTTCTTAGTTACAATGTTGTTTTTGTAGCATGGCTATGACAATAAAAGGAAAAATTATAGCAATTGTATTTTTAACGATTATAATCAAAAGCATTGCTTGTCAGAAAATAGATCAGTGTAGCTGTAGGCTCTGTCTCCTAGCTATTTATTTGGGAACATTTAAGGAACGCTTAAACTGTCCTAACTAAAATTGGCAGCTGCTACCCAAATTGTGTGGTAGAAGCCTGGGTCAGTAGCCCTGCTAGATCTCACAGAAGACTCTGCATTGTAACTCCTAGTCTGTATGTGCCAAACAATACACCATTTTCTACCCAGTGTGTCCATACGGATTTCCGTGTGCTTGGTGCAACCTGTCTGATCCTGCGCTGTCAGTCAAGCCCTAAGAAACAATATACCATCAGCCAAGGCTTGCTTTTATTGGATTGACTCCAATAGTGTTTGTGGAAACAGGTGTTTATTAACATTAACATGATACTGTGTCTGAGCTTTTTAGGGGCCAAATTAGAACTGTTTTCAGGACCAAATTAAAGTCTCAGACTTGCATTTCGATTCCTTCAAAACCACTAAAATTGGCTCTCATAGATGCAAGAAAGGCATGTATGTTCTAAACAAAGTAAGATAAAACAGCAGTGAAAATAGTGTTCAATGTTTCTTATTTATTTACTGTGTGAAGTTACCTTGCTGGTAGCTGACCATGAACACATGCCACATAAAATCCCTTCTTTTTGGGACTTGAGGCACAAGTTTGAGCACTATGCAATTCAATCCAACCAGAATGCACAGAGGATAGAAGTATTTGGTAGGAAAATAATTGTTATAAAACAAAATTTTGTTTACTCAATCTTATTTTGTAGGCATCTTGTCCATATTCTGTAGCTAACAGGCCCTTCATCACTTGTAGATTTCACCCTCCTTTTGTGACTGGGATCTTCCAGGGTTCAGATCTGGAAAAGAGAAGCTGGGAGGGGTGGTGATCTTGCTCAAAGAAAATTTCCTGCTCCCCTGCTCCACTGCCTTTGCCCACCCTTAGCAGGGCCTAGTTTATCTTCTCTCTCTTCTCCCAGCTCTCTGAAAACTCAAGCCTGCATCAGCCGGTTTCTGCCTAGCTCTCCCTCTTTGCCAGGTGAATGGGGGTGCAGACAGAGTGGCACAGTTCAGCAGCTCACAGAGCAGGGAAATGGCTCTGTTTATTGAAGACAGATGCACTAGGGGTACCATGTAGAGCCTGGGGAGCAGCCCTTATCCTGGGCACCTGGCTTTGCCTGCTATTGGTTCACATTGCCTCTATGTGTGGAAGTGACCTGGTTAATGGCAGCTGTACATGGTCAGCATGAGCAAGGACAAGTGAGAAGACAAAGATGCCAAACCCCACAAGGTGCTCTTGTTAAAGAAAAAAGCCCCAGCAAACAAGAGCCCTGTGTTCTCCATCACAGACATGTTTTTGACAGGAACACGTGCAAGAGACTAGACACTCACCAGGTCTTGGGCTGATCTGCAAACCTCAGTATGGAGTAAGCCTTCTAGCAGCTGGGGGATCACAGTCACTTCTGCTGGCCAGAGGGTGCACGCTGGGAACTGGGCTAAGTGGTTTCTATGGGGAAGCTTTCCTCTAAGCAAAGCACCCCAGACTAGCAGTCTCTCCAGTCTTGAACTGC